TATTTCTCATTACAACAACGAACTTTTACTACTGGAAACTTATATACATGTTTTAGCAATGAAATTGTTTGCTCCTTGTAGCAACGAAATTGAAAGCTCATTTTAGCAATGAAACTTGTTTACTCGTTTGAGTAACGAACTTTATCTTCCATGAAAATATGAATGTTGCATCTTATTCGGGCAATATACTTTATTTCTCATGATAACAACGAACTGTGTTTACAAACTTATTTACTCCTAGCAATATACTTTTATTATTGGAAACTTTTATCAAAACTTTGATTTCAACTCATGAACCAATATTATTTTGTTAAACTTGTGAGTACTCACCAACTATTTTTATAGTTGACGCTCGTTTTACATGCTTTTTCAGGAATCATCGAGTAAGTGGTACTTAGGGACACCTCAATTTTAGGAGCATTCGCATGTGTTGTATTTCTATTTTCATTGTAATTCCTTTTAAAAGTTGTTCAAACCCGTTGTAAATTTGTAATGGTTTTTAATACTATGGTTGGTGTTGTCTTTAAACTTTTGCTATGAAACCCTTTGTACTGCCACGCCTTGTGTTTCCGCTTTAGCGGGGTGTGACACTATGCATGTTTAATGTTTTTATTTCCAAAATTGAACCAAAGACTGTTAAGGTTGCAATGGAACACTTTGATTGGGTTGTTGCAATGCAAGCTGAATTGTCTGAATTCGAAAGAAACAAGGTTTGGAGATTAATTCCTAAACCTGCTGATGTTTCGATTGTTGGACTTAAATGTATTTTTAAAAACAAAACTGACAAAGATGGAAATATTATTCGAAATAAGGCCAGCCTTGTTGTTAAAGGATATTCTCAACAAGAAGGAATTGATTATGAAGAAACTTTTGCCCCTGTCGCAAGACTCGAGGCTGTTCGTATTTTTCTGGCTTATGCAGCTCATAAAGATTTTGACGTATATCAAATGGATGTAAAATGTGCATTCCTAAATGGTGAACTTGAAGAAATAGTTTATGTTGAACAACCACCATGTTTTATAAATCGTGAACATCCTGATCATGTTTATATTTTAGATAAAGCTGTGTATGGGTTGAAACAAGCACCAAGAGCATGGTATGCAACTTTAACATCATTTTTAAAACAATCTAAATTTAAACAAGGATCAGTTGATCCCACTTTATTTTGAAAGAAAGTTGGGAGTCACCTGATGCTTGTTCAAATTTATGTTGATGATATAATTTTTGGCTCTACTGATCCTACTTTGTCTAAAGAATTCGAAGATTTGATGAAAAGCATATTCGAAATGAGTATGATGTGCAAAATTAATAATTTTTGGGGTTTGAATATTCGTCAAACTAGTGAAGGCATCTTCATTAATCAGGAGAAATATACGAAGAATCTACTTGAAAATTTTGGAATGACGAATAGCACAAGGTTACGAATACCAATGGCAACAGGCATCAAGTTAACTCCTTCGTTAGACAAATCTGCTGTTGATATCACTTTGTATAGAAGCATGATAGGGTCATTATTGTACTTAACTGCAAGTCGACCTGATATTATGTTTTGTGTTTGTAATTGTGCAAGGTATCAATCGAATCCACGTGAACCACATCTAACAGCGGTGAAGAATATCTTTCGATATTTGAAAGGAACCACTTCGTTAGGTTTGTGGTATCCTTCGAAAACAGGGTTCTTTATACAAGCTTATTCAGATGCGGATCTGGGAGGATGCAGTCTTGATCGAAAAAGCACAACTGGTGGGTGTCAATTACTAGATGGAAAATTGATCAGTTGGCAATCGAAGAAGCGAACATGTGTTTCGATCTCTACATCGGAAGCTGAATATGTTGCTGCAGCTGCGTGTACATCACAAATTATTTCGATTCAAAGTCAATTACGTGATTATGCTATAAATATGAAAAAGATTCCTTTATATTGTGATTCACAAAGTGCAATAAGAATTTGTTATAATCCTGTGTAGCATTCGAAGACTAAGCACATTGATCTCAGATATCATTTCATAAAAGACCATGTGGAAGAAGGAAATATTGAAGTTCATTTTGTGAAAGAAACGGAACAGCTAGCAGATATTTTCACAAAGGCATTGGATGAAAAATCATTTCTTCGCATTCTACAAGGATTGGGAATGCTTGATGGAAATTCAAATTCATATGACAAAACTAAAGAGTGATGTGTAATAATGACAAAAGAAAAAGGTGTTCAACATTCAGCGGCTACTGTTCATGGTCAACGCTTCGAATGCTTTGCATTCGTATGTTTTGTTCCTTGATAAAGTCTGTATTCAGAGACTACTGTTCAAAGTCAACAGTTCGAAAGCTTCGTGTTCGTTTGTTTTGTTCTTTGCATATATTCTTATTTAGAGGTCCTTGTTCTAAATCAAATCTTTGCATGACTTTGAATTCAAAATCTTCGCATCCACACACATTTCCACAAAGGTATGTTTTTAATAAACTTTGGAATAGTTAGGATGTCCCTAGAAGCATGCTGATGCATGTTGACTCAAGCCTCATATGACTCAATGTGTGAGAGGAAAGCTTTGATGAAATTATCTCATGAACATTTCTTCCCAACAAGGCTTATATTCGCATTAGTCAACATAGTTACCTTACTCTTCTCATATGAGTTAAGAGTTTTCTGTTTTGTTCACATATAACAGATGTACATTCGATCTATCAACCAATCTTTTTCATCCTAAACTTCTTTACACAATTCACACACAATGATGTATGTCCCAGAGATTTTTGATCAAACCAATTGAAATCTAGATATACAAAAATTCTGTGTTTATGATCTGAAATCATGAGTCCGTGATGAAAGTGAAACCCTAAAATCCAACAAATCAAGGAATTGACGGGGGACTTTGTTCTAGAACTTACGAAACATTTGTTTCAATACCTTTTATACTCCAAATTGTATTCATTTTTGTTTAGTGGTCTTGATCAAACATTCGAAACCTACGATGTTTTTTCCCAACAAGATCCAGCATAATATTTTTTTCATGAATATGATTTCCATGTGAGTATATTTCGAAAATCTTTGTTATGTTGTATATCATTCCATACCAATTTGTCACTGACTACACTGGTCATACAAATAATTTCGGTTACAATTTATCACCTTATGTTAAGGCTGATATGTAATGAAATTTTCAAAGCCACCTATTAGCCTTATAAAAGAAACCCTTCGAAACTTCTCTACAAGTTGTTGATTGTAATTCACGGGAAACCAAGCAAGCTGTTGATTATCTATCTTGATAATTTTTGAAGAGATCTTTGCCCGGGATTTAACTACTTTTGTGTCAAATCAAAATTTTGACATCACTACTTTCCAAAATTTTTTTACATTTGTTTCTTATCTAAATTTTTGGAACACAGCACACACGAAATCCTTGAGGTTTTGAGTATTACCAACTCAGACTGATGATTTCGAACCTCTGGCATATGACTTCGCTTTTTAAGCCAAAAGTGAAAGAGACTTACCTCTATTCTTTCCGAAGGGTTCCGACGGTTACACTTCTCTTGGGGCAAACCAAACAGTCTTGTCTTTTGGTGACGTATCGAATACGACACGAGTTTTAGGCGTGCTGATAGTTACGTTTGTTACTTTTTGATGAGTGAGGTTCATATTTCAAGGTGCCATGTCAGCAAGCATTTAATGCATCCCGTTTGAAAATCAAAATTCTAGGGTTATATATAAAAAGGGAACTCAGGGGTCCATAACATTTTATGCGATCAAATATTCTCTTTCTTACAAATTTTCTCTGAAATTCATCTTCTTCAAAAATCAGCTTCTTCACATCCAACAATGGCGACTCAAAAGCAAGATTCAATTCCATCCTCACCAACAACTGAAGAAGTTGTTTATATACCGATATTGAAGATCCAGGGTTCAAATTATCAAGTCGAGTCTGATTTATCCAAGTATCTGGATGAACTCAAGATGTTGGTGGTTGCTTTAAAAAATTATGTTCTATCTAAAGCAATTTTTAATTTGTTTGCGGTTCCGATGTCCTGGTTATCTAAAGCCGGATCAACAACATCGTACAACAAAGAGACGGGGAGTGTGGAGTTTACAATGGTGAATGAAACACGTATTCGGGTGTCCAAGAGGTTATTTTGAAAGATTTTGGGAATTCCGAACAAAGGTCCGTATGTGGAAGTCACTTCTTCACAAATTATGTTCATGTTCAATGAAATGGGTCATCAACCTCCATTGACGCGTATCAGTGATTTTAAGAAATCTGGATTACCTACGGTATGGAATTTTTTATTTGGAATTTTTCTTCACTGTCTCACCGGAAGAACAGTGGGTCTAGATAAAGGGAGAACGGAAGTCTATGCAATGGTGGCATGGCTTTATTATGATTTACAAGTTGATTACTCTGAACAGTTATGGACAGAGTTCTTGACAAGTATATCGAAGACCAATGTCAGGCAGGGGATTTCATGTGCCAGATATTGGAGTCTTATTCTTCAGTACGTTTATGCCAAGGAGAGGATTGCAGTTCTTGAAGATGAAGAAAAAACAGTTTTCCACATGTATGGCAGTCCGAAGGAGGTTGTTGATGATCCTGTAATTTTTACATCTGTTGCTCGTATTCCAGATGCGATGCTAAAAAAAGGTGGATCCAACAAATAACGTGTTGGTGTCATATCTTCAGTCAATTGACACAACCGTTGTTAGTGGTGTTTTATTTGACGCAGAAGCGAAGAAATCCAAGAAATCCAAGAAGACAGATGTTGGGTCTTCGGAAAAGAAAGTGAAGGTTGAGAAGAAGAAGAAATCTCCTACAGTCAAACCAGCTACAATCGAAGAAGGTTCTCAACAGATTATTTCTACAATTTCGACGACTGTTGCTGGTACACCAACCGCCGAAGCTTCTCAGGAGAAAGAGATAATTCCATCGAAGACGGGGGGTTTTCGCCGACTCAAATTCAAGCGAAAATCTTCATCTCAGATTGTTTAGAAAACTCAAATCACACATCAGGGTGTGATGGTTCGTGAAATTCCAGCCCCTGTTTCTCCATCATCGAAAAAGAGAAGGGCTAAGGATCTTGCCAAGTTTATCAAGAAGAACCAAAGGACTGACGAAGAAGAAAAAGTTCCTGAAACACCTAAAGTCCATATTCAAGATGCAGCAAATATCAGTCCACCTATTACTATTTCAAAGCCTACTGATTCGAGATCCGTTGAACAAGGTCTTGTTATTTCTCTACCCCAGGTTACATCAACTACTGATTCTCTAACTTTTCAATCTATCATGGATCAACCGTTCACTACAATTTTTTCTACTCAATCTACTGATCCACCGAACCCATCGTCCCCTGTTGATGAAACCATGGCTACTGATGCTGGAACTGACAACGAAGGCTTTGGAGGAACGCTCTAAGCTCTTCACTTTGATACTTCCGAAGAAGATTTTGCAGACCACATGCTGATGACGATGAAGCAATTCAATATTTTGAATTCAAAATTAAATTCAATCTTGCAATCACAAGTAGATGTGGGTAATGTTGGGGTGACGAGTTTGGAGGTTGATTCGTTGATGAAATTGATGGAAGGGCGTGTCTTTTCGAAGGGTTCTGGATTAATTCGAGATTCAAAAAGTAGAGTTCTTGAAAAAGTTGATCAACATCATGTTTCTACTGAGAATCGAATTAATTCTCAGAATGCTGATTTTGTACGAGAACTGAAGGAGTTGAAGATGGTTACGAAGGAGCATACAGTGCTCTTCGTACAAGAAGTTAAAAAGGTAAGGGAGGATGTGAATTTACAAATCAGAGAACTTCGTGAAGAAATGCAAAAGGAAGTTCAAATCGTACAACAGGATTATGCTTCGACTAATCAGAAAATTGATATCATCTATGATGCTGTCACCAGATGTATCAAACTCTTCGAACAAATGAATCCAACCCTGGCAACTCTTTATGCTAAAGAAGAACAAAAATTTGGAGAGTTGGTCGGTTTGTTGAAAGAATTAAAAGCCTTATCCTCGAAGTCTGTCTCTCCAATAATTTCCCAAGAATTTCTTTCACAGAAGTTTTCCCATTTCGAAGCCATTTTACACAAGAATTTGATTCCCCTGCTTCACATTTCCAGCCTTTTACCAACAGTCTCAGATGCCCCACCTGCTTTCACAGGGGTGCAAGGGGGGAGAAAAGATAGAACAAATAAAGGCTGGGGAACAAGTAAAAACTTGCGAAGGGATGAAGACAACTACAGAAGATGCGAAGGTAGTTGGAAAGATATACCCTTCGAAGGTTGCAGCAAAGGCAACTGTTGTTTCTGCTGGTCTAGTTACTTCAACTATGATCACAACAGTTCCAATTCCAAAACCTATTTCAAAGGGAGTAGTAATTGGAAAGAAAACAGGAGGATCATCTTTAGAAAAAGTTGACTTATCAAAAATAAAGGATAAGGGCAAAGAGATACTGATTGAAAAGTCCAAAGAAGAGAAGAAAGCAGAAGTGGTAGCTGAAGTAAAGAGAATGAGACATGTTCAGAGCATTATGAGACAAAGGGCTCTGGATGGCTCAAATGTTGATAAGGGTGATCCATCAAAAGTATACAATTACGAAACTATTGAATCCAGGGTGATGTTTGATCATATGTATTCATTTGAAAAGATCCCAAAGAAAAGCTACGTGGTGACAAACACTGATTTTTCTCAACTTGATTTCCCAATCAATGAGATGATGCTTGTCATGCCACAGTTTAAAGCTGAGTCAAAGACAATGGAAACAGAAGAGGGAAAGAAGATGAAAATAAGGTTTCATGCTGTGTTGGCAAAGGCTCAGGAAGAAGTTTGGTTTTTGAAAATGATAAGAAAAGTGCTATCTATCAAAAGAGATGTCATTTTCGAAGGGAAGTTTGAAAATGTTAAATACATTGTTGCAAGGGCAAGTGGAAAAATTTAAGAATTTACAATGGCAGATTTTCCTTTGATGAATACTTATGATCTCATCAATGTCTCCCTGATGCTTAAAGGAAAATCATTTTCATTTCTGAAAGATACTAAGCCTGGTATTTTTAGCCTTGGGTGCAAGCACATAAAAATTTACTTGGAAAATTACTTCGAGTGCTTGGCTCAAACAGATGTGGAACTTGCAATAGTGAAAGGAATTGACATAACTGCACCAATGGCACTAACAAAGAAGCAAAATGAGCTGAACAAGTATGAAGTTGGTGAAGTTTTCTTAAAACCATTGGGGATAGTTTTTGCTGGGAAGGATAAAGCTGGAAGAGCTAAATGATTTTTGTTCCAAACATGTGAAGGGGAGAGATACAACAATTCTTAGTATACGAACTTAATTGTTCGTATGAACCACTGCAAGAAAAACTCTGAAGGAGACAAGAAAGAGATAAAGAAGGTTATCTCTTGGTATACAGAAATTCAAAGAGTGCTGATGTATGTCGTTCAAGCACTGACTACTTGAAGACTTCGACCTTGATTCCAAAGGGGGAGATTGTTAGGGCTAAAATGTTGTAATAAGTCAAAGAGTCAGTTTGTTTGTTACGAAAAATCTTATTGTCTTCGTATGTATGAGTCTTCGTATATATATATGTAGTTATTTTTTCTAAGGCATTATAAAGTGAAGGCTTAACGTTTAGTCCTTAGTATTTTTGTTATGCTTTTATTCTCCTATAAATAGGGGCATATACTAGTGTTCTAGAAACAACTTTTACATACAGTTTTACAGTTTATTCATTGTACTCTGTAAACTGGAAGGCATAATATGAGCTGATCAAAGATTATATTTACTCTTGTGTTCATCGTTTCAATACTTTACTCAATTACTTCTAGAATTACATTCAAACTCGATTCCAAATCTCATCAAATTTGGGTTTCCAGCCCTTATAAAAGGATGTCGAGGGCAATCGAGTTCTTAGCTCATTTCTTCCCTTTCTCTCGCGTTTTTGCATCGTTTTTCGTGCAAGAATTATCCCAAAGCCCCGATATCATTCCCAATCCCCGAAGCAAGTCCCGAAGCCCCGAAGATCCCGAGAAGTGCAATTCCTGAGCCGAAGCTCTGCCCGCGAGGAGTCTGGTTTTTGTGAAGATCTTCCAGATCTACCGAAGAATACTACTTCTACAAGTCGTAGTGCTGTCCAATCATCTTCGGATCAAGTGAGTGTGTAGTTACTTTCTTCTAATGCATAATTATGAAGTATTTTATATAAAATACGTGTTATGTGTATATTTTGTTGTTATATGTGTGAATGTATATTCACTTTCTTCTATCTTATAGATTTGATTTATTCTCTATGAAATACGTGTTATGTGTGTGCCTCATCTGTTATGTGGAATATGTATTGATTGAACATGCTATACTGGTTTTAAACTATGTATAAAAATATATATTTTTATCTACTAATATGTTGGGTAGATAGTTGATGTGTGATAAACAGATGAGAGGCCTCGATGTTGTTTTTGATTCAGTCATCTAGCGGAGTTTAGATGACGACCACAGACTTTTCTAGATAGTCCTATGGAACGCTAGGAGGTTCGTCACGTGTAGGTGTTAATGAACTTGGGTGTTCATTATTTGTACTCCATCCCCCTCATGGTTTCCTTATTTGACATATTTTGCTGGGAAACCCCCGAAGCATGTGTTATCGCCCCGATGAAATATTCTTAGACTAGGTCCCTTGTGTTAGTTATTATAGGGACGTAAAGTGAGAATAACTGGAATGGGTAATTGGGTTCTTATTGGTTGATGAAAATTAATTTAATCAGTTATTGTGAGTTGAAAACCCGATATGCTCACCAGGATCCCAAGCCTGACCCACTCAGTTTATTTGTATTACAAGAAGTGGCGCAAGGGCATAAGATGGATGAATCATCAAGTTGTTTCGTTTACAAGTTTGTATATGTATATATTTGTTGAATGACTTGTAATGTTATCGTTTATGCTTTATCATCTGTATCGGAACATGACATCCCGAGTTTTGATTATATAATAAAAATACATTTCTTTATGAAATGCTTTGGTAAATATTATGTTATCACGTTTTGTTTTCGGGAACAAATTCCGCAACTGTTTTAATCAAAGGATTACTCTGAAATCATTTTAAAGGAATAAATTAAACCGGTCTTTTCTGATCGTTATTTTGGGGATGTCATAGTTGGTATCAGAGCATTAGTTTAAGCGAACTAGGAATTTGTAGGATTTCTAGTCTTAAACTTAAAATGCTAAGTGAAATTTTGAGACGTGTGTCTGTTATGTTTTAGACACGAGCACTAGTTTATTTTAGGAAACTTGCCTAAAATGCTTTTATGTGCTAAATGTTATTTGTTGCCATATATGATATTATTTGTTCGGATCTGTGGTCTGTTGTCGACCGGATCTGGAAACCTTATGTGTGTAGGATTCTAAGAGTATGTCTACGAATTTAGAACTAGCATGTAAAAGTTTTGGAGTGATAAGGATGATTTGCATATCCATCGTGAATACAGATCTAATTTCTCCTCATTCGGTGTATAGATCAAAAATGGTGAGAACAAGAAGTGGAGTTGGAAATGCTGATGAAAACAGGAATCAACCACCAGTGATTGAGCAAATACCTATTGTAGCTGCAGCACCTGAGCCAATAACAATGGCTGGTGTACAAATGATGATTCAAACAATGTTGGATCGTCAAATGGAGGAGACTAGGCAGTTGCTTCAACAGAATCATGAACAACTGTCAATTCATGTGGAAGAACCTGAATTAAATGAAGGGCACTCGAAAGGTGGAAACTTCAGTGGGTCTGCTGGTCAAGCCAACCTCCCAATAGTTAGGCAAAAAATCAGGATTGAAGGAATGATGGAATGGGATGCAAGTACAAGGACTTTCTGACTTGCAAACCATCGACCTTCACTGGAAAGGAGGATCCGATCGAAGTTATGGATTGGATCTCAGAAATGGAGCTAGCCTTCATGACGTGTGGTTGCAGAGGCAAGTTGCAAACTACGTTCGTTGTACGTCAGTTCAAGGGTGGATCAGTTCATTGGTGGAACACTCTAGGGAAGACTTTAAACCCTAAAGAGCCACTGTAATTATCACAGGCAGAGTTCTTGGCGTAGTTCAAGCGCAAGTTCTGCTCGGCTCAAAATCTGTTGGAGTTGGAGAATGAGTTTCTAACATTGATGAAAGGCAGCATGTCAGTTGATGAATACACTAGTAACTTTACAGACAAGATGGAGTTTTCTTTGCACATCGTTCCAGATGAGCTGACAAAGTTTGACCAGTACGCAAAGGGACTCTCATGGGAGTACGCAGTGCCAGTTCGCCAGGCACCTACTCTAGAGGCAGCTATTTGGGCTACCAAGTCTGTTGAGGACATGATGAACGGAAGAACCGTCAGCAAGGTTGAAGTTGGCGAGAAGAGAATGTTTGAAGGAACTT